TGGGAAAAAAAAAAAAAAAAAAAAAAAAAAAAAGTAAAACAATTACACAAACACCTAGATGAACACCTCTCTCTCTTTCTCCCTCTTTCTCCTAACTTCCCCTGTTTTTTTCAGTGAGTTACACTTAGTCTATCCACAACCTATAAGCAAGGCTGCAGTTGGCATAGGAAGTTGGGGATGTTTGTGTAATGACTTTCTGTGCCTCATCACTGTTCCATTCCTTAGGGTTCCTTCCCTGTGTTTCATGCAGTGCCCTTAGTACCCATGGAGTGCCCCTGCTCTGTGGGTAAACAACAAGCTGCAGTCTGAGGGATGTATGTACCTGCTTTGGCATGACATGGTATGCCTCCTTCAAAGACTCTTCAGCCCCAAGTGGATGGAGGTGTCTGTCTCTCTAACAGGGTGCCATGTGTTTCTCTGCCTGAAGATGTGTGGGATTTTTTTTACTGTTACTGATTTCAGAGCTGGCTGGAATGGGTTGTGAGACACACAGGGCAATTGATGGTGTCCTCCCATACCCCTCAGCACTGCAACCCCTTGCTACATAAGCCTTGTAAGCTTACACATAGTTAAAGTGCTGTATGAACATGTATCAGTTATAGACTCCACTCTTAACATTATCAGAAACACCTAGTGTGCATTCCACTCCTTGCCACTGTGTTAAACTGTAAGGATTAATGTTGTAGGAGTCAGAATATACATGTTAAAAATAGTTGTATTTAACCTCAATCTGCGAAGGAGATGATGGAGGTTAGTGTTATCAGGGTTTGAATTTACATATTTTCATTGTAGACTCCACACTTTGGTGTAGATTACGAAGGTTATAATTGCTTACTGCAGAATTCAAGCCTTTTTCCTGCAAAACACAAAACCAAGACACTCGACTGTTTCATTTACTTACTGTGTCTTAATACGCAAGCAAATATTCAAACAAACAAATGGTACAGCCACAGGGTAACACCATGATTGGATATACACAGAGTCCAACAGCTATAAATTAATCTAGAACCCAGATGCGTGGGTTTGATACATGGACACTTCCCCAGTTGGGGAGTAAGATGATGCATCGGTTGACTTTTAATTTCCCAGAGCTTGCTTCATATCCTATAACCATGTTAACTGAACTCTGACCTTTCTTCTGAGCTTCTTATTCCTCAGTGTAGAACTTTGAAGGACTTATTTTTCCCTTTCCAAGTCACGGTTTGTAGGGTGACAGCGTGGAGATTTTTCATCCCCTCCTGACACTTTCACAACTGCAATTTTGTCATGCTTTGCCACGAGGCTGATCTTCACACCTGCCTCTGGCATGTTCATCCCAGTATCATACTCTAGGTCACTCCCTGATCAATAGGATGTCTCACTAGCTTACCAGGTGATACCAGAGGAGCTAATAGTAATTGTACCTAGCTGTCAGAGCTTTTGGTTTGTGGCCTCAGCCTTTTTAGGTTCCTTTACCCTTTGCCTGTAAACACAGTAGGAGTTAAAGTGACCACAGTCAATTGCCCCTTCTTCCCAGTCTCCACGGGGGTCTTGTTTGTGGGATCAGAATGACAGAGTTCAGCATACAGCTCTATCATTAAATCCCAGAGCTTCCTATTTTTGCAAGTGCCCTCTAGCTTCCCAGCATGACTGCAGCCACTAGAGAATTGACTTTTGGGGACAGCAGCTGTAGATATCCTGTACTGCTTTAATCAAGTAAAAGGTTGCAGAGAGGTTGCACTTTGGGGACCAGTGCTCCCATTTCCCATGGGCTGCCTGATAGGACTCTCTTAATTTTAAACTGGCTTACTAGTTCCATAGTAGGTGAAACACACCTTTCCCTTTGGCCAGTTCAGCATTACCAACTGCTAAGTTTTGGTCCAAGTTTTGTCATTCTTGCTGAGTATTTGCTAGTACATCTTTTAGCAGACCAGTAGTCTAACAGTGACTGTCACTGTGATGGTGATGAGTTTTAAGTGGTGCTGATCTTTCTGAGGCTCCATTTGAAGCATATGGGCTAATTTTTTTTGATGCTTCCTTAGGGGACTGTTAAGGCCCCATACCGTGTGCATGTGGCCATGGAGCTGGCACCAGCCTGTGTCTTCCCAGCCATCTTCCTGTCTTGCTAGGGCTTTCACAGGTCTCTGCTTTTTCCAACAGTTTATACATTGTCTGCACACATCTCCACACATGAAATGGCTACACCAGCCACACCAGAGTATACAATCACATATTCCCAGTACCAGAACCAAGGTTCCTTCTGGATTCCCCAAGTCATTGCAGTAATGCATTTCTCTTTTGTGAAACTCCACCTGGAGTACTGCATCCAGCCTTGGGCCCCAGCACAAGAAGGACACATGGACCTGTTAGAGTGGGTACAGAGGAGGCCATGAAGATGATCAGGGGCTGGAGCACCTCTCCTGTGAGGGCAGGCTGAGAGAGTTGGAGTCATTCAGCCTAGGGAAGAAAAGGCTCTGGGGAGGCCCTACTGCAGCCTTCCAGTATACTTAAAGGGGACTTACGAGGAAGACCAACTTTTTGCCAGGGCCTGTAGTTTTGTGTAGTAGCATTCTGTTTCCTTTTGCTTCTTAGTGGTTTTGTCACCACCATGCTCCTTAGTGTCTCTGCTCCGTGGGTCACCCACAGGCCCCAGTCCATATGCAGGTACCCTGCTCTGTGGGTGGGTTGTGAGTCACAGTCCTCTCCAGGGTATCCCTGGTTGGGTACAGTTCACCCATGGGCAATAATCCCCTCAGGAGCTGCAAAAAAAGAAAAACTTGTGGGTCTATTTGACAATCTTAGAAAAGTGTGCTTTCCTTCTAGCAAGATGCTATGATTAATTTTCAGGTTAAAGTATGATGCATACAATGCCTATGTTTTTCTTTTTGAACTGGAAATCTTGACTTCTAAGTTGCTAGTCTTGAAAACAGCAGAAGGCAATTATGTCTTCTTGCATCTTGGAACTAAAGATTAAGTAAAATCAGTTTCATGCTTAACTATAACTGTGATCAGAATCTTAAGTTCTTAGTTTTTGGTTTAATTAAAATGTGTGTTCATCTTAAATACTTTCAGTTATAGTAATAGAAGTCTGAATACATCCCTAAAATAGAAAAAAAATTAAGTAGAAACCTTCCTGAATGTTATGAGAGTTATAGTGTACTTCTATTATGAAGGAAAGTATTGTTGATTTTGTCATGTGGAGCCATTCAGCCAGTAGGAAACACTGAGAATTCATTGTTACTATCCCTGTTTAGGTGAACACCCACATTTCTAAGGTGGTTGTTGAGATAGATAAGGCATAAATGAGAGCAGAACACCACTCACAGTAGGCTGCAAGTCCTTGTTGGATGATGAAGCATGTTTATTGTCTTCATGTGGAAGGTCAACAGAAGCAATACTGTGCTATGCGTGACATACTAAACTTCTTTGAAGTAGCCCAAAGTGTTAGCTCTTGGTGGTTTTGGTGAGTTTACTCTGTCATTAAATAAACATTTAGGTTTGCTTCTTGTTGCTTTTTTTTTTTTTTTCCCTTAAGTTAGACTAGTCATCTGAAAGCAATAATCATTTGAAAGAATTTTAGGTTGTACAGAAAGTAATTCTCTGCCAGTTCTTCTATGCCACTGAGAGGTGACAGTGAGAAAAATAAGTTTAAGCACATTATTTCCTTTATTTTTTAATAAATTGTTAATTTTAAACTCCACATTTATTTTCATCTTCTGCTTTGATAATAATTTGTTCTGAGCAGTAAGCCAGTGGTTGCTTTGGAGTAAAACATCACTTCAGACATCTATATTTTAGGAATGTATTCCTACATAGTGTGTTTATAAAAAGGCTTTTAAATCAGGCAAGTACAGATATATGAAAAATATGTTGATTAATTTTTGTCTGATAGAATTGTGATGAAGAACAGTAATTGAGACAAAGATCAGTATGCCAAGAAAATAACATGCTGTGATAGTTTTAAGCCCTTCCAGGACCGGAGACCACTTTGCCGTTGTCCCTCCCCCACCATCAGACACAAGTAGGGCACAAACCCTGAGTTAAAATAAGAAGAAATGTAATACAACAGTGGAATAAACAATCTGAGCAACAACAATAGTGATAATAACAACAACAACCAGTAATAACAGTAAACAAGACAAAAGATATACAAAGAAATACCACAATGGATACAGACAGCCCAGTGCTCCCCCTAACAAAAGCCACATCCCTTCCCTCTCTCTGCTGGGGAAACTTAACCCTATCCTATCTGAACCAGGACAGAATCCACCCCTTTATTCTATACCATCTCTGTCATGTCCAGCTGCCATTTAGCAGTTAACAATAACAAAATAACAATTAACAAAAGCACAGCATAATTCATGGCATGTTCTCACCCAGAATCAAGTCCCCCTGTGGTACACATC